TTAGTGTTAGCATGTTGCTAAGCTAACACCACAATACTCTTTATGAACATTACAATTTATAGCACATACAAAACTATGTAAAATAAGTAATTTCAAAGTACACAGAAATTGTTTTATTGACACATGTTCAGTTTTGAATGAAATGTATGTTTATTTATAATCATCATTTCACTTTGTCCGTCATCATGGATTTCTTTTTTGATGAGCTTGTCACAGTACATTTTTGGATTGCCTTCTCTGTGAATGATACATGCAGCTATATGATATAATCTATGTTGCTTTCTTCGCATAATTTATTTATTTATTTGTTTGGTTGGTTGGCTGTTTGTTTGTTTATTTTAGTTTAGTTTACAAATTATTTAAATGCAGATGATTCAACAGGAACAATGCAATACCATAAAAGCATAAGCATTCATAAAATATATATTTTTTATTGATATAGTTCAATACAAAATGAATACAGTATATGGTATTTATAAAGCAAAAATTTTTTTTTAGAGTTTTGTTTATTTGTTTTGTCATATTTGTTAATAATAACATTGTTCTTATTTGTTTATTTATTTATTTTTTAGGTATTTTAGAAGGCAGCTCACTAGATATGTACATTCTCTTCACTTTCTTTTTACTCCTTGAGACGAATAGCATGAAAAGTGAGATCTGTAGATCTTGTGTTTTGTGTCCATTGGTAGTAGTTTCCCTCACTGAGTTTGTAGAGGCAGATAGTTTAAAAAGGCCCAGATGTGGAGATGCGTCTGAAGGATTCTACTCTCTAGTCTCTCTTCAGCTTTCATCTCAAACCACAGGACAAAAATCCCCTCCACAAGACGTGCGGCATCCCAGTAAGAGCTGCTGTTGTTTATGTCTGTCCTAACGTCTGGTCCGCTCCGCTCTTCCCCTGCGTGCCCATACTCCGTTGCTCACCCAGGCTAATCAGGTAATGTTACGGGGGATTGAGAGCAACACCCCACCCCCCCCACCCCCACCCCGGTTGGCCTTCGCCTACTCACACTGCGGTGTTGTTTTAAAGTGCATTCTTTCGGCGCTGAACTTGGAAAGGTATTAAAGTGGGATTAGGGGCTCCTCCACAATCCAGCGCTTGTGTCATTCACTGGGCTGCTCTCTTTCACTCCCCTCATCCCAGCCGCCTCCCTCTCTCTCTTTCTGTTACCCCCCACCTCTGCCCTGTTTGATTGTGGCGATCAGTGGGAGTTGAAGTGACTGTGGCTTTCAAAAGGAAAAAAAGGGGTAGGGTTAAATCCCTACTCCACTGCTCCCTGCTAATTCCCCTTGTTCCTCCAAGAAGGATTTACTTCTGCTGCCAGTTTGTGAAAGGCTTTCTCTGCCCATCCGAAAAGTTAGCCGTCGCCTTCCTGCAGAGGTGTGGTTGCTATAGCAGGGGCGTCATGCGTGGCTATTCCATCAGAGGTCCCACTGAGAATAGGGAACGGGTCAGGGGGGCTGACGACAGCCAAAAAGTCCGGATTAGATGCCGGGACAAAGCCAGGACAGGAAGATTCCAGAAGGAACAAATGGGAATTACAGCAGCAAAAATAATGCAAAGTGACAGAGAGGGGAAATAGAAAAATAATGGCTTACAAGATTAGAACGGGTGGGGGAAAAGGAGGTGAGAAGAAAAGAGGCGGATGAAAGGGAATGTTTTCATTTGGATGAGAAGGATCCTGAGAGCGGGGCAGTGTCGAGGTGAGCGGGCGAAACTAGAAAGTGTTACCACCGCTCAATAGGGTTAATTTCCTGTGCTTTCCGGCCTTTTTTGCCCTGGAGTCTTTGACAAGGATTCATATTGTTGAATGAACATTTGATTCAGACTGAGTCATGACAGATTCATTATTCTGTTTGACTTGTTTGACAGATCCGGCATGTAACTGGTTAATCTAGCCAAAATATTGTGTCAGCCATCTTTCAATGTGAAAGTTGTGAGTGTTTGGATGTGTTTAGACAGCAAAAACTCCATAAATATGATGGAATGTGCAAAATCATCTTGTTATTGTTACCAAATCATCTTCTTTACAGATGTTTTACAGGATCATATCACAGCACTGTGGTCTTCATGCCAAAAATTACAACCATGCTAATCTTCAATGCTTGCTCAATACTTGATTTGTGGGGGAAAAATAATTATATTTTCACGTGATTAATGAAATCTGTATGGACGAATTTACTTGAACAATTGGGAGTAACCACAACAGATCAGGCTGTGTCTAAACACAAAATGATAAAGGTGTGTTCCATAGAAATATTCCTTCGCTCAGAATGGAGAAAGGAGCTAGGTAGACGGATATCCCACGGACACAAGAGAATTGTTGGCATGCCAACAGTTTAGTTAGGATTAATAGTTTTCCACTGGCAAATAAAACATTTCTAATCTTCTTATTGTCCCACAATAAATAAAAGATTATGAGCCTATGTACAGCCTGCTAATGCCAGTATCCATATTGTTATTCCCCCAAGAAAAAAAAGGGGTTTTTGATCCCAAAATATGATGACCCCCTTGTGTTAAAAGGAGTTAAAATAAAAAATTCCATTTATTATTCCCATAAATAGTAAGCATAACATTATTAAGAGAGCATGATGTTCAATTTTAAATAATTGATAATAAGACAAATTAAATAACTATATATTGTCATGTAACTATAAAAATATTACTAACTCAAGTTAATAATTACATAATATAAATATATAGTATAAAAATAAAAATCTTGATTTGACTTGATTTTTATTTGGGTTTTTTACATTTATTTCAAGTTTTGGAACACCAGTTTGAACATTTTAATATAAATGTAAGCAAAATATAAAACAGAAACTCATTTAAATAAAGTAAAATACAGTTTAACAGAATCTGTAATGAATAAAATGGTATATAACATAGTACATAAAACATACAGTATCTACCAATGAGTATTTGCCAGTTATTTTCCAACATAAGTAATGATGCTGCTCCATAAATGACAAGGCAGTTCCACTGAATGCCACGTAGGTTTATTCTCATGACATCTCAAAGGATGCCCATAGAAACTCTGACATGCAAAACAACAGTAGCGACAAAAAATACCCAGCTATATAAAACTCCGACAAACAGCAATGCAGCTGGTCGTGTGTCCAGCAGGCTGCCATTATCAGTCCCCATCACCATCTCACAATGAAATTACCATCACAAAACCCACCATATTTACACATATTCATCTGAACTCATATTAACACAAATTCATCACTGTCAACCAACCCTGTCCACCATCAACAGAGTATGATGATGGGCATTCTCCCTGACTCTCCCACCCGATGAATAATGCCACAGATGAAATGCAGAGATACGCACAAGCGCCGGGGCAGCTGTCCTACCAGCCAGAGCAAACAAAAGAACCAAGGCTAATAAATCAGCTTTTATGGGCTGGACACTGTCACACACCTGCTTCCTGTAGAGGTGGGCTCCCGCTGAACCTCACAAGATGAGAGCGAGATGGTAATATCTCTGCCAGTAATGAAACCAATAGGATTTTATCGACACCGTTAGGAGGAAATGAAGGCTGCGGGGGTGGCCGCGATCTGTTATGTAAACAGACATGTATTGTGGCATAGCATATGATTTTAGAGTTTATCTGACAGGAGATCAGTTCACAGCAACATAGTGTAGATTTGCATTAAATTTGAGTGAAAATTTTTTACTTTTTGTTCTATTTTAATATTTTATGCCTTTTTTTCTCTGAACAATGTGTTGTTGTATAGTTACAAAAATTTAGAAATCGCCATTTTCCATTTGATTTCATGAGCAGCATTAACCAATCTCTCACAAAACAAAATGCAAACAGATTTTAAGCCATCTCTTCCCTAAGAAATAACTTCCCGTTTCAGTAGCATTGTGTGAGTGGCGGTGGAGCCTGTCTAATCACTGCAGTGAGTGGGGTAAAGCCAGTAGAGCTGAGGGCCCATGCCACTGATTGAGGTTTGTTGGTGCGTTGGGTCGAGAGGTGATCCCGTATTTCCTCCCATTGGGTTCTGCTGAAGCGTTGAGGAGTTATCCAGGCTGCAATAACAGATGAGCCAGTGTCAAAGCAGATCGCTCAGGGGCTCAACCCCATGCCCCCTGCCCCCTTAATCACCAAACTATGATGGACAAGCACATGTAAAGACATTCACTGTGCTGTGATGCCTACTGATGCTTTAATCTTACTGTATTTTAAAATCTCTTAAAGGGGTAGTTAAAAAAAAATCTATCATTGTTTACACAGTCATGTCATTTCAAACCTGTATGCTGTTGTTTTTTTCCATCATGAAAGTAGTACAAATATTTGAAAAGTAAATATGACATAATTCAGTTGTTTGTTTGACATGTGCATTGCCATGAAACATTTAGGGTCAGTAAGATTTTTTTATTTTTTTTTAAGAATTATGACTTTTATTTGGCAAAGACACATTAAATAAAAAAAAAATGACAGTAAAGATGGTTATAATATTACAAATATTTTAAATATTATATATATATATAGATTTTTTTATTTTTTTTTAATTACCCTTTGAGCTTTCTTTTCATCAAAGAATCCTGAAAAAGAAAAACATGTATAATGGTTTCCACAGAAATATGCAGCAGCACAACAGTTTTTTTTTTTTAAATAAGAATTTTTTTTAAACAGCAAATTAGCATATTAGAATGTCACACTGATGACTGGAGTAATGGCTACTGAAATCTCAGCTTTGCCATCATAGGAATAAATTAAATTTTTAAATATATTAATATCGAAAATAGCTATCTTAAATGGTAACTGTTTTAGAATTTTTCCGTTTTTACTATATTTTTGATCATATAAATCCAGCCTTAATGAGCATAAGAGGCTTCTTTTTTCAAAACCATTAAAAAAATCTTACTGACCCCAAACTTTTGAACAGTAGTGTAGGTTTAGAGCTAAATTTTGACCTTAGTTGTGTCTTTCTAGACAGATTTTTCAAGCATTTACACGTTTCTCTCTTTCTCTTTGTGACTTTCTCAGGTTATTTGTGACCAAATGCAGCGGGTGCCTGGAGAAAATTGCCCCCACGGAGTTTGTGATGCGGGCGCTCAAGTGCGTGTACCACCTCAACTGTTTCTGCTGCTGTGTGTGTGACCGACAGCTTAGGAAAGGGGATGAATTTGTACTGAAGGACGGACAGCTGCTGTGCAAGAATGACTATGAAAGGGAGAAAGACCTGCTCGGCTCTGTCAGCCCCGATGACTCGGATTCAGGTATGAATACAGGCTAATCTACACACCACAGACCATGATGCCAGTGTATTCATGAACATATTACGAGGGGAGACATCAGAAGACTTTCTTTGCTCTACAAAACACAGAAGACGATATTGAAGAACTTTTTTGTTCATACAATGAATGCCAAAATAACACTGACTTTCATTGTATGGACAGAAAACACTAAGACCGTTCTGTTTTACAGGAGTCAAAAGAAAGGGAAGAATATGCACAGAAGTGTAGAATATGGCCCCTTTAATCAACAGTCAGCAGAGGAAGAGCAGTTCTGACAAAGAGAAGCCACACTGTGCTGTCTGATGTGGCCAAGTTAAGTTGCTGGAAAGAAGAAGAGCTTGAATGTGTGTGAGTGAAAAGAGGGATTTCAGGCCCTGCTCACCAGCAGCCCCTCACTGCTTATCAGGACTCCTTTTCCCTCACTTCACCGTAATGAGGCATCTCACTTCTAATAATCCCCATGTGGATTTCATTTAAACACGCACACATGCACACAGCCCACTCTCTCAAACACTGAGAAGTTTGTCAGATGCTTCAGCAAGACTGCATCAACTTTCTGTGATGTTTGTCTCTTTTCTATTCTTCGTTTATAAGTTTTGCGTTTCTAAGTTGACCTGAAGTGGAGTGTAATGGCAAGGAATTCGTTTAGTTTGCAGCACACCACTCTACTGGCAGAAAAAGAGATCAGAAACAGATGAGAGAGAGGACCGAATCAGCCCATCATGTTTGTGTCTCCCGCTGATCACTTAAAAAGGCCAAACCATTCGCAGGCCTAATCGCCAGAGATGTTCACTGCTGATGCCACAAAAGCCACTAGTGCCAAATTGCAGAAGCCCTTAATCTCGAAAAACAGTCACGCTGGGAACATGCCCATTTGGGTTTTTAACTTTTGAACCAGGCCACGTTATGGAGTTTGGCACCTTTTTTTTAATTACTATTATTATTCTATTAAACACAAGCTGATGTGGCTTATTGGATGAAACCTCCACCCACTGAACAATAAAGCCAATCCCCCGTTTGACTGTAATAATTACAGTAGGAAAGCCAGGAGCCATTTTGTGAATATGGCACATTAGCTGGACCTACTGAGAGAGATTATCACGACACAGGGCAGGCTTGATTAACCCGCCCGAGGATCACCTTAGACTAATTGAGACACTTTGATTAGTTCATATGAACAGGCAGTGTAAATTGTGTGATATGAGGTGAGATATTGAACTTTATGGATTGGCGAGCTTAAATTCTGCTCACGTAGTTTGATTTGTACAGACTTTTTTTGCCCAAGTGTTCTTTTTGCAAGCATGTTCACTGCTTGAATTTGTGGTTTTGCTATCTGTTTCACTTCCCCTGGATAATAGGCCTCATTTCCCATATGTAGTCCACTTTCATACCTTCCCCAAAACGTTGCATTCGCTGTGTGTTGGATTCTTATCAAAGATTTATATAGTGTCAAACAGCCAAAGCCTTGCGCTATTAATTTTAAATGACACAATGTCCAGTCCAATGACAAATTCACATACTTCACAGTCAGAGTTGCCGTTTTGCAGTGAATGTGGCCCACTCATGCACTAATAAATTGATAACAAAAGTATTAAAACCACATGTGTCTCCTTTCGTTATGGATGCACTGTAACTGAATCTCCTAAAATTGAAAAGAACAAAAACATCTATTTATCATTAGGTTGTCTAAAAAGTTGCAGAGTTTTAAAAGTAAGTACTGATTCCTGTGAATGATGGATTTTTTTCCAGAGAAAAGTGAAGATGAGGAGTTGGATATCAAGAAGGAGAAGGGCTCAGGAGGCACTGGGAAGGGAGATGATGGGAAAGACCCAAGAAGACCCAAGCGACCACGTACCATCCTTACCACACAACAGAGACGTGCGTTTAAAGCATCCTTCGAGGTTTCTTCCAAACCTTGCCGGAAGGTGAGTTCCTCTAGATATCAGTTTCCTCAATCTCTTGAGCACCATCTTTCTATAGAAGTAATTTGCGAGTTTAAAATATGAAATAGTGGCACATTGTGGGATATAAATTTGCAGTTGTGATATCATAATCATCTAGAAATAACGTTTCAATAAGATATGAAGTTGCAATTAATGACGCAATTGTGAGATATGAAGTTGCAATTGGTATTTTTAGTCGAGTTGTGATATATATAGTCACACTGTAATAGATAGTCACATTGTGACATATAAAGTCACAATTACAAGAAATAAAGTTGCAATTGTGAGAAATAGTCAAAATTACAAGAAATAAAATCACAGTTGTGGGATATGAAGTCACAGGTATGAAATATCAAGTCGCAATTACGTGAAATGAAATGAGAAAAAGTCACAATTACAAGATATGCAGTTATGTCACAATGTAACAGAGATAGTCACAATTACATGGAATAAAGTCTGTTACAAGTTGCAATTAACACCGCAATTGTGAAATAATATGAAGTTGCAATTAAGGTTTGAAGTCACAATTTTAATATATAATTACTGTAACATTGTAAGATGAAAATATTATTGCAATTGTGAGAAATGGTCACAATTGTGAGAAATAGTTGCAATTATGTTAAAGTTTTGAGATATGAAGGTGCAATTATGTTAAAGTTTTGAGATATGAAGTTGCAACTGTGAGATGTAAAGTCACATTGCAATAAATAGTCAGATTAACAAGGAAAAGTAGCAATTGTGATATATGAGGTTGCAATTGTGAGGTCAAACTGCACTTACGAGAAAGTTTTGAGATAATCGATTTAGTTCTAAGAAATATATTTTGAGATAGTCACAATAATGAGGAAAAAAAAATCAGTTATTTTTAAACACTCTAAGATGGAAATGGGATTCCATATAATCTTCACTAAAGAAACAAATTATTTTTGTTGTATAATCTAGGTAAGAGAGACGCTGGCTGCAGAGACGGGCTTGAGTGTTCGCGTCGTTCAAGTGTGGTTCCAGAACCAAAGAGCTAAGGTGAGTCCAGACCCTGTACACTACCTTTATTAATCATCCAGTATTACCCGCACAAACCTGATAATGTACATCCAAGGACCAGATAACACAACAATTTTCAAGTAATCCTCCAACAATGCACTAAACTCCTCGCAGCCGCTGCCAAAAGGGAAAAACCAAGCGAGGCTCGAGACAGCAAATCTCAATCGCTATCTGCCTGAAGCTTAACCTCTCGACGCATTCCACAAAAAACTCCCCAGGAGTTCGAGAGAGATGTATTCACATCCATCCTGCTCTTACGTTAGCGACTGAAACCCACCTCAGAGCCCTGATTTTATCTTCAAAAGGCTGTGGATAATATAATGCAGCCAGATCAAGCTTGGCGTAGTTCAAGCAGAGTTGAACAACAAGGAGCATCTCTCTTTAGATAGACGAGAGTTGGTCTGGGGAGTCGCAAAGTTTTCTGATTGTGCTTTTATCGTTATTTTTTCAGATAAAAAAGTTGGCGCGGAGACAGCAGCAGCAACAGGAGCAGCAGAACTCCCAAAGGCTGGGCCAAGGTAAAATGTCCTGACATGAACCTGAAGGCAACCACATCAGTCCGAAATATGACTTTAAGACGGAAATCAACATGAATGAATAGCATCTATTTCCAATCTTTTGGTGTTTTTTGCATTTTCAGAATTCTGTGGAATGTTGAGTTTTACTTATTAAAATGTTTTAAATGCAGCTGAGAATACTACAGTCAGATTAGCCAAAACATTTACTAGTTGTAGAATGACGAACTTCTATTTTGTGTAAATTGTAAAAGGTTTTCTGCACATTTCTGCAGGCGGAGATTCCTTGTGGGCCTTCTTATAGGCAGTTTTGCTTCATAACTTAGACCTTGAGGTCAAAGTTACATTTTTAAAAGAATATCTAAGGGTAGAAAGTGAGGTATCCCAACCGACCTCCTTGCACATCACCCTTTGTGGTGTGAGTCGTGTCCACCCTCTCAAAAACAGGGCGAGCGACACGGGTGATGACCCCTGGTCGCTGTAGATTAGGTCGAAGAACGCGTGCAGCTCTTGTGTGAGGGAGGAAATGTGGAGGTGGATGAATTCATTTACAACATAAGCTCATTGAAGTTGCCTCCACTTTGACCGATCCACCCACCACGTTCCCTCCTTTGCTGGAAGCGACCCAGCATCACGGTTTCAGTGAAGCGGTTGTCTCAAGTTGCCATTCAGCCGGGCGCAAAGGATGAGCCATTGTATGTCTGTGATCTTCACACTCATGGAGTTCACAGCCTTCACATTTATAAGACAATCTGTTTCTGGTCATGCTTGGTGACATACCATGTATTAATACCATTTTTCAGGCTAATTTTTTATTTGAGAGTGTTAAAGAGCTAATCCGTCAAGTGCCGTCTTTTTTCAACAGTTAATATGTTGCTGAGACGATCCAACTGAGCTTCTGTAACAGATGAGTTTGGATGAGACTGTCTGGAAAATAGAAACGTGTAAAATATTATTCCAAGTTCTATGGAGGAGGACAAATGTTTCCTCTACAGCTCAAGAGTCTTAATTCCTGTACAAATATTTGTTGTAAGGCAGTGGAGTCCAATCTTCCGTCAGTCATATTTATTTCTTCACTCTCTGCGTTTGTCTTTAGAGACTGTGGAAATAACCATAAAGCAGTTTAAATACAGAGAACACATTTTGTGTTGGATAAAAGTACTTGTATAAGGGTACATTTTAAAAATCAAAACATTTAACTATGTTGTATGTATATGGCTAATGACATTGCTTAATACAGACCTGGAATTTAATGTTAGCTCATAGTCTATTTACATTTTAAATCCTTAAAGCAATATTTAAAAGTATGTTTTTGTTGTTGTACTTCCTAGAGCTGCATTTTAATAATCAAACATGTTAATTCTACTGAATATATGTATATTGCTTAATATATTTAAGACCTGTTAGATTTTATTTGCATTTTAAATCCTTAAAGAGACATATAAACACATTTTTTGTTGTTGTTTGAGATAAGAGCTAGTCTTCCTATCTTTATTTTGTGGAAAACTGAGGGTTTATACTGACATTTTATTGCTGAACAGACCCCCTTGTGCCTGCTCTCCTGCAGAGCCATAATCCAAGCGATCATTGAATCATCTTCAGCGATAAAGGACAAGCAATAATATTTTTATTTTATAGAGCGATGTTTGACTATTCTCACAATGCATTCATTTATGGAGCTTTGGCTCTGCTGTGTAGAGCAAAAAGATCACTGTCGAACAACAGAAGTGTAAAGTCATCACATTGACACTAGTTTCTCTCTGTTTGCTTCAGCACTTTTGTGGCCTTTGGCTGTGTCACATTTAATGGGATAATTCAAGTCAGATAGTGATCCATCTTTGGTCATGAACCTTACCCCTCATGAACCAATAGAAATGTTTTCTCAGAGAAATGAAAGAAAACGATAGGGTGATGGAGACGCTCGAGAGAGACAGCTAGGTGTAGATGAACTATTCTGGTGGTCTGAGATATTGAGAAGTCTTGTGAAGTCAGACTCCCCTTTGGGAAATACCTTAGCGGTCTTGAGTAGTCTGTGATGTCATGAATCATGAAATTGGGCTGGAATATGTCATCCAATGGAGCCCCACGGTTAATACTTACGTTATATTTGTTATCGTAAATCCTATCTGTCTTGGTTATTAGTGTCAGCTGTCCAATAGTTTCAGCTGTGGGGCCAGTGATTGGTGTGAAAACATTATAGAAAAGACTTTGCTGCGTCATGTTGTTTTAAAAGTTTTAATGCTACCTTACAACTTTATATATTTGGGTCAGTGGCAGAAAGAACCTTTTTTGAAAGTTGCACACATGACATTTTATAGTCTGAAGTTGCCTTGTCTTGTCTTAAAAAGGTCAAACTATTTGATATTTTAAAGGACCTATTCGTCTTCTCTATTATATAATTTCCTGTTTTATTCATTCATTCATTCTTTCATTCATTCCTGCATGTTGATTGGACCAAAAGTTTTTAAAGATATTTTTAAGCTATGAAGCAATTTGTGTGTGTGTATACATATATATATATATATATA